GAGACCAAGATGGAACTTTTTGGCCTTAATTCTAAGCGGTATGTGTGGATTAAACCAGGCATTGCTCATCACCTGTCCAATACAGTCCCAACAGTGAAGCATGGTGGTGGCAGCATCATGCTGTGGGGGTGTTTTTCAGCTGCAGGGACAGGACGACTGGTTGCAATCGAGGGAAAGATGAATGCGGCCAAGTACAGGGATATCCTGGACGAAAACCTTCTCCAGAGTGCTCAGGACCTCAGACTGGGCCGAAGGTTTACCTTCCAACAAGACAATGACCCTAAGCACACAGCTAAAATAACGAAGGAGTGGCTTCACAACAACTCTGTGACTGTTCTTGAATGGCCCAGCCAGAGCCCTGACTTAAACCCAATTGAGCATCTCTGGAGAGACCTAAAAATGGCTGTCCACCAACGTTTACCATCCAACCTGACAGAACTGGAGAGGATCTGCAAGGAGGAATGGCAGAGGATCCCCAAATCCAGGTGTGAAAAACTTGTTGCATCTTTCCCAAAAAGACATTTTGGGGGGTGCAGGGCAATAGGGATTTCGCCTAGGGCGTCAAATTGGCTAGAAACGGCCCTGTGTGTATCACATGTTCCATCAGTATGTGCACTGGCACGTAGTGTTTCTTTACAACTTGACAGTACAATTTTTTTCATGTAAATGTATCCTAACTCCTCTCCTGAATGGTATTGGTTTTGGACCACACCTCTGATCTTGATTGGTCTTCGTTTTGGAGGTCTGTTCTTGACTACTCCACTTATTTACATTACATTTAGATTTACACCACTTATAGATGAGATGAAATAAAAAGAAAACCGGGATCATACTGCATGGTTTTCAAAGTCGTCAGATTGCTGTTCTTCTCACAGTGCACGACTGTCTGGAGTACAATCTAGTTGCTGTTGTGTGACATTACTTGACTGATCGGCGACAGAGGGTCACACATTACACATTCCCTTTGCCCAGTATCTGCTCTCTCATTGGATGTAGGTCTGTGACTCCTCCCCCTGAACTTTCCCTTGCCCTGTATCTGCTCTCTCATTCGATATAGGTCTGTGACCCCTCCCCTTGAATTTTCCCTTGTCCTGTATCAGCTATCTCATTGGAGGTAGGTCTGTGACTCCTCCCCCTGAACTTTCCCTTGCCCTGTATCTGCTCTCTCATTCGATATAGGTCTGTGACCCCTCCCCTTGAATTTTCCCTTGTCCTGTATCAGCTATCTCATTGGAGGTAGGTCTGTGACTCCTCCCCCTGAACTTTCACTTGCCCTGTATCTGCTCTCTCATTGGTTGAAGGTCTGTGACTCCTCCCCCCGAACGGTCCCTTGCCCTGTATCTGCTCTCTCATTGGATGTAGGTATTTGACTCCACCTCCTGAACGTTCCCTTTCCCTGTATCTGCTCTCTCATTGGTTGTAGGTCTGTGACACCTCCCCCTGAACGTTCCCTTTCCCTGTATCTGCTCTCTCATTGGATGTAGGTCTGTGACTCCTCCCCTGAACTTTCCCTTGTCCTGTATCTGCTATCTCATTGGAGGTAGGTCTGTGACTCCTCCCCCTGAACGTTCCCTTGTCCTGTATCTGCTCTCTCATTGGAGGTAGGTCTGTGACTCCTCCCCCTGAACTTTCCCTTTCCCTGTATCTGCTCTCTCATTGGTTGTAGGTCTGTGACTCCTCCCCCTGAACTTTCCCTTGCCCTGTATCAGCTATCTCATTGGAGGTAGGTCTGTGACTCCTCCCCCTGAACTTTCCCTTGTCCTGTATCTGCTCTCTCATTGGAGGAAGGTCTGTGACTCCTCCCCCTGAACTTTCCCTCGCCCTGTATCTGCTCTCTCATTGGTTGTAGGTCTGTGACTCCTCCCCCTGAACTTTCCCTTGCCCTGTATCAGCTCTCTCATTGGCTATAGGTCGTTGCCGATGTCATTTCCAGTCAAAACACATTTCACACTGCAGGACACTGAGTAAGAAATTTTGAGCCAGAAATTTTAAAGTGAGTGGACCTTGGTAAAATAGGGTGGACCTAAGTGCTTACTCTTAAACTAAAGTACATCATTTTCAATTCATGAGATAAAAAGAGGGATGTAAATGTTGACAGCTAAAAACTTTACATTATCGGTTTTTGACTACAAAACAAGCTTTATTAATTTTTCTCTTTTCCTTTTCAGGGTTGATTGTAAAAGGTCCCTCTGGTCCTCTGGTTGCTCCTCTGGGATCCTCAGTGGTTTTGCCCTGTTCTGTTGATGAACTTTTATCAGTGGAGGGTCTGGAGGTGGAATGGAGAAAAACGGGCTCAGAGACTCTGGTTCATCTGTATCAGGATGGTGAGAGTCGAGCAGAAGCCCAGCAGCAGGATTATCACAATAGAGCTCATTTCTTTACTGAAGAGATTCAACATAAAAACTTCTCCCTCCGTTTGGACGATCTGAGAGCTGAAGATGAGGGATTGTATAAATGTACAGTTTACAGTCAGCAAGAGTCTGGTGAGACTGTGGTTCAAATAAAAGTTGATAATGTTGGTGAGTATTGACCACATGAGTTCCTTCCTTCATTTTCATTATGATTTTACAGAAACTAATTACTGAATGTATATTTACACTGTTTGTTCTTTCAGAGCGTTTGCTAGTATCAGGATCGAGTCGCTCCATATCTGCGTCTGTGGGTGAAGACGTCACTCTGAACTGCTCTGTAGACTCTCACATCCCACCCGAAGACTTTGAGGAGGTTTCATGGAAGAAAATAGATGAAGATATTCAGGTTCTGCTCTACCAAAACAATGAGGCACATTCATCAAATGAGCGATACATAGACAGAGTTGAGCTCTTCACTGCTGAAATCCCCAAAGGAAACTTCTCTCTCAGACTGAAGAGCATCAGAACTGAGGATAAAGGAGTTTACATGTGTGAGGTGTTTGCTGGAGGACTTTCAGCCAATGCAACTGTAGTACTGGAGCAACTGGGTGAGTAACATAACTGTCATACTTTGTAAAGTGGAACGTTTAATGGCTGCAGGGTCATGCTGTGTCTAATCAACTAAATTTGGCAAAAAGATGGCAGCATCATTATTTTATTTTTACACAGAGATTGGAAGGTCTGTTGCCTTTAGTAAAATCTGTTGCCTTTAGCAATCTTTGCATTATATGCCAATAGTAAGCCAAGAGAGATCAACACGCTGCAAATGATAAAACACATACCATGAATTAACCATGGTTTTACTATAAAAAAAAAAAACATGGTTACTGTACAAACCCGATTCCAAACCCAACTTTTTTGGAATGTGTAGCTCTCATGAAATCCAAAATGAGCCAATATTTGGCATGACATTTCAAAATGTCTCACTTTCAACATTTGATATGTTATCTATATTCTATTGTGAATAAAATATAAGTTTATGAGATTTGTAAATTATTCCATTCCTTTTGTACTCACAATTTGTACAGTGTCCCAACTTTTTTGGAATTGGGTTTGTAGTTAAACCATAGTAACCACATATTAGCCATTGTTTTGCTACACTAAACAGTTTAACCATGATATTTTTACATATGTGGTTATAAAAATGGTAATCAATACATCAAAAAAAACATGGTTACTACACTTTTACTATGATAAAATCATGGTTAATTTTCATAAGCATTGTTGGGGTCCCCTGGTAGGAAACATTTCTCTTCTGAAAATTAACCATGCATTTATTATAGTAAAACTGTAGTAACCATGAATGAAGATGCTTTCTTAATTTGCTAGTGCTTTTTCTATTTGCATGTGTTTTCTTAAGTTGCAGCGCTTTGAGCTCTCTCGGCCGCCTTACAATAGTCTTTTTTTTTTGGCTAAAGTTTGCATGCCTGTAACTCAAGAAATGTATTAAATATATCCTAATATCCTTTTAGATTTTGGTTCAGGGCAGTCGTGGCCTAATGGTTAGAGAGTCAGACTTGTAAAGGCACTCTCTTCCACCCTCAATACCACGACTGAGGTGAAACCCTTGAGCAAGAACCAAACCCCCAACTGCTCCCCGGGCACCG